TTGTTCATCAAATCCATAAAAATAGCTGGTACGTTGGTTAATTCGAATGGTATGACTAGGAACTCATAGTATCCGTACATGGTTCGAAAGGTTGTTTTGGGAATGTCTTCTGCTTTGATCTTTATCTGATGGTAACCTAAACGCAAGTCAATTTTGGAGAAGACCTAGACACCCTGCAGCTAATCAAAAAGGTCATCGATCCTGGGGAAGGGGTACTTATTCTTGATTGTGACTCTGTTCAATCCCCTGTAGTTAATATATAACCTTAATGTCTCATCCCCCTTCCTTATAAATGTGATTCCAGTACCCCAAGAGGACACACTATGTCGGATGAACCTATTATCCTGTAATTCATTGATATGTTTCCTTAGCTCTTTCATCTCCACACAACTCATGCGATAAGGAAAAACTAAGATAGGCTGCGCGTCAGGTTGAAGGTCTATGGTGAACTCAACTTCCCTATCCACTGATAGTCTGGAAAGTTCATCAGGAAACACATTCGAAAAGTCTCGGACTATTAGGATCTCTTGAATGTAAATTTTTTTCTTAGCCTTACCTAGTTAAAGAAAACAACCAAGATAAACCGCTATATAATAACAAAATTGCTATGAGAGAATAATATTCAAAAATTTTATTAACTTATAAATGACTCTTCGTTAGGAGGCTTAAATACAATTTTTCTCGTGAAAATAATCCACGGTAACGTGATACACCGCTAACCAGTTCATTTTTAGAAATACATCAGAGTCTCCTGTGTCAATCTCTATCAGATCCATCATAAGTGAAACTGACTACCGTAGAAGAGGGGCCAAGTGTTGCTGGGGAGGGACCGGATGGCCTTGTAACGATGTCAGATGATACAACGGGGGCTTCAAATTATATTGTGACTGTATCGGATGATACGATGGAGGAGCAGGGTTGCATCGAGGTGCCTTAGATCCTCTCGTTGTAGGGGTGGCTCATATTGTGGAAGTAGTAGAGGGTCAGACAGTTCCCTCCTCTCTTCCTTAGCCTATTGGGAAGAGATGAGTCTCTCTAAAATTTCAAAAAGCCAATTGACATCCTCTCGAAGTGACTTATTTCGAGCTGCCCTGTTCAGCAAGGGACCTCATCTCCTCATATCTTTGTACTTATTTTTCAAAATGAAGGGTTAGGTGACAATTCATATTTAGTGTTTTTAAGTCTTTGGATAAGGAATGGTTCTAAGGAACGCGACTTTGATACCAACTGTAAAGTCTCAAAACTTAAAAAAAGAAAGTCATGAATTAAATACATAAGCGAAACAATAGAGTTTAGGGTTTACATTTCTCACATAATAATTTAGAATGCCCAATAAGGATATGGGAACGACCCTTCTAAAAGAATAAACAAAATTAAGGAAATAAATAAAATGCAATGTATTGAGCATTCTAAAACGACCTTCACTAGCTTTTGAAGGGAGTCTGGGTGGTGAACTATTCACAACCCTCTTATTAATTGAGATTTGGATCTTATTCCTCTTGATCTGAAATACTTAATGAAATGGTGAGATACACTAACCTAGTAAGAATATCACATTATTCACCGATATAGAAACTGAAAATTAGTAAAAATCATAAAAATAACCAATGGAGCTCTTGATTTAAGTAAATTTATTTATCATAAAGAAAATCATTTATTACATATATTTTCCATTTGCGATATTTTCAAAATCGATCTATAAATACAATAACTCAAATAACATTCTAATCATATATTCAAGTGAGCAAAAATATTAATTTTTCCTCTTTATTTGTCTACTGGTATCCTTGGGGGCCCATAGTAATTTTCCACTACGCGTGAAGCATTCTTCAACATTGTCAACTAACCAGTCGTCCCTATACTCCGTTTAGCATGAGTGTCAAGAATATTATTCCTCAATACATCATTCAATATAAGGGTAAAATGAGCTGTCCACATACCCCGTCCGGTATGAGTGCTAAAAATACTAATTTTCAATATCTCGTTCGGTATGAGGCGATCTTCACGGTAGAGTTCCCTATGTACCTAGTCTATCCACCATCTCTCAGAATATCTAGTAAGGCTACCATTTATTCATTCATTTAACCAATCAATTTTTCGTTTACATTTGATTTTCAGTTTCACAATCAATCGTAAATCATGTAAGACAAATAATACATGCATCAAAGAAATACAACTCAATTATTTTACCAATTTCAGTATATTATCATGCATATAAAGATGTAAAATCAAAAGATCGATTAAACGGGACAAACAATAATAAATAACTTATTCTGCCTCTATTAGTAACCTCTAATTAATTTTTAAAATTTTTTAAATTACGAAAAATACTGTATTATTGATAATTAAACTTCAATTTTATAACAGGGAATAAGGTGATGGATTCTTACTCGAATCGGTGTCCGAAATACTAAACTTTCTACTGCGCCTACTAACAGTTCTCGAGTTTCCTGAATTTTTCTGTTTAGATTAAAACACGCTTCACATATCTAAAAATACCCCCAAAAAATTCAAAATCAGTGTTAAAAATCTTTTTCAGTAAATTTTAAAATTCCGGCACGGTGACATCGTCGTGCTCTAGCGACAGCATCGCCGTCCGCAGTAGCGGTTTGCCTCGGCCTGGCAGTTTTCGGCCAGATTTGGCTAGTTTCAGTTAGTTTTATACCCATCCATATGAAAAATTACGTTAGAGGGTCTCGGTTGGCCGAAAAAAGTCAAAAAAGAAAAACCTACCGGCGGCAGAATTTTCTAGTGCGGTAGCTCCGCTGGCTAAGCTTTGCGTTGGACGTTTTTCTTCGATCAACCTGTAGAAAATAGAACAGTGAACAAAATGGTGAAAAAATCGCACAAAATGGGAAGGGGCTCATCGGAGGTAGTTTTGAGTTTTGCCAGCAGTGGCAATGCCAGACTTTGCCCGCAGGTTTTGGCTCATCCACCGTTCTTTTTGCTCCGATTTGAACATGGGGGTGCTCAGAATTAAATTCTAAGCGGATATGAGAGTTTTTACCTTTTTTGGCGGTTGGAGGTGGCTCCGGCGCGGTGGCGGGCAGCGATCGGCTCCCTTCTCCGGTGACTGGTTCTTCTTCTCCGATGGGAGGCTGGCAGCTAAGGCTTCGGGTTCGGTGTGATGCGAGATATTTATACCCGTCTTGCTTAAATCTGTGTCATTTATTGCATTTGATCTCGATCGTCCAATCGCGTTTAAAGAGAAAATAAATATGAACTGTTCATCGCGATTTGATCTCGACCATCCGATCGCATTTAAAAAAGAAACAAATCTGAACCGTTCATCGCATTTAATCGCGACCGTCCAATTGCACATGAGGAGGGAATGGATCTGGATCGTCCATGCGCACGGAAACGCATCCGGGCTATCCGATCACTGCACACAAATTACCTGCGTGGCACCGAGTCAGTGTGTCTTGCCACGCGACGCTCTGGTTCGTCGGGACTGCTTGCTGGCAATCCTACGTGGTATAATTTTTTTTTAATTGTGTTTTAACACTCAGTTTTCGATTTTTCTTTCAAAAATATTCTCCGAACCTAAATTTTCATCTTTTTTTCTCAAAATTATTTTTAATTTCATCATTAACCTATTTTTTTTCCTAATTTACATTAAATAAAAATTTATTAATTCTAAAAATTATATTTTTATATATTTTTTTAAAATTGTAAAATTAATCCCGAACTAAATTTTGAATCCGGATATTACATAAAAAATATTTGATATATATTATGAAAGTTTCGTATGAGAAAAACTCTATGTAATTTCTTTACATAAGGTATCAATAATATACTATTAAATTGTTATAATAAAAAGTTTTTTTATCGGTTTTTTCGTTGATATAAACACAATATCGAATGATATTAAATTTTATATTATTTTTTTATGATTTTATTTTATTGTAATTGTAGGCAATTTTAATATCATGTGATATTTCCGGTTATACTTTATATATATGTGTATGTATACATGTATGTACATTGATATGAACTTCTTTCCTAAAACTATAAAGTTGAAGTACCTCCAAGCTTCCTTAAACGAATATTTGTATTTCAAATTAAATGTGCAACAATAGAAAACATTGTATTAAAATATTTAAATCGATCATATTCCTTAATTATAAAGCCAAATTATGATTAAAAAAATTAAAATTAATTTTCTAAAATATTTAAAATTTTGAAATTAACCTTATATTTTTTAATAAAATGTTTAAATAATAAAAGAAAAAACAGATAAATAGCCAGCCACTGATTGGGCTTCGGGGTGACACCAAAATTTCCAGACTCGACCCACAGATTCATAAAACCGAAGGCCCAAATTCATAAATTTAATAATTTTCTTTTAAATAAATTCAAAATTTTGGTAAAATATTTCTAAATTTACAAAAAAAATTAAGTTAAGTTCATATGAAATTTGGTCACCCTAATATAATTTAAAAATATCCCAGTTAAATTAAATTTTAACATGCAAACAAATTCCACATTGTTTTTAAATTTATTTCACATATAATCTTATTATTAATTTAACAAAACTCACAATGTATTATTTAATTATTCACGAAATTTCATGTAAATTCAATTTTTATCATTGTAAGTAAAACTTGTCATCTTCTAATTAGAAATTTTAAATTTTTGCTACATATATAAATCAAGATTCGTTCGAAAGTAACATCTTCAAAATACTTTCAAGTTAATCAAGAATACTTAATGCTTAATTTATTCTTAAAGATGATTTTAAATAGACTTTAAATCATGTTGTAAGTTGATTTGTTTCAATAATTTTGTGTATAAAAGATAACTTGAAGACCCATAAAGCTATTGCAGATTTTGGGGAATGGCTTCTTCCTTGACAGACATTTAAGGTACATGGTAATCCAAAATAAAGCAAACAAAATCTTTTGCTTGCAGTAACAAAAATGGCCAAAAGACAAAAACCATTCAATTCACTTAGCTCCAGATTAACTTCTGTTTGATTTAGTTCACCAAACAATCAAGAATTACTGAACAAAGCATTTGTAAGTAAGACGAATCTCCTGTTAGAACAAGTTGATCTTTTCTGTTGCCAATCTCCAAAAAGATAAAATTTGAAATCATGATAGAACTTATGCTTATACATAATAAGCAGAACCTGAATCTACATACTGTACAATGTTGTCGACATTAGCACTCGGGTATCAAAAAGCCGAGTTCCTGCAACACTAAATATACTTCAGCTTTTCTAATATACACTTTACATATTTACAGGAACATACTGAATATTTTGATGAACCCAATTGCCCACCATCCAGATTCCATTCAACTACATACAGCTATAACCAAAGGTTACTAGATCATATAATCATGAAGGAAGGAATGCATCTCAGGCATCAACATAGGCAGACTATCGACGTAAAGATAGAATCGCCTTAGATTGTGTTTTGCGACAGTAGTTGTATCAATTATATCACTGTTACTAGTAAGAACCCACAAATCTTTAGTGCCAACTGAATTTAGGCTGCCTCGACAAAAAGGACAGGATTGAGATCGAAGATACCTGCAGTTTAAAATCGAACTCTGATTAGAATAAGCAACGTGTAACTGAAAATGGAAAGAGGGGAGGGGAGTGGGAGTCTTATACCAGTCTTGGAAGCAAGTGATGCATAAGGAGTGTCCACAGTTGGGCAGCACCATCTTTGTACAATTCTCCATGCATATTCCACATTCATCAACTTCATCTATTTTGTTATTTACAAGTTGTGAACTTGCATTGTTATTATTGCTCTCATCCAACTCACCTTCAAGTTGTTTGAGGGAAGGGTATGTAACAGCTGTAAGTATAGTTTGTAAAACTAGAGTTGACCACAGTCATAGGAAATGGATATTTCTCAAACAAAATATAAGCATAAGAGAACAAACATACAAACCATAGAACTCCCTCAGAGTAACTTTTCTTTTCTTTGAATGACAATGTTGGCATCCCATCAACATATACCTAAACAAGTATATGAAAAATAACCCATATAAACAATTTCTAAAATAGAAGTTCAAATTGGTCCTTTTTTATCCTTTTGTAAACGACACAGAAAAAATAAGGAAAGACTGGGATATATAGCAACTCACCTTATATATAAGTACATGGAGGAGTCCTAAATAACTGGGTAAGACATCCCTACAACTATAATCCATCCATTCTATCAAAAACAGGATAACAGGGGCAAAAGGGCTGTACCCTAATTTCATCTTAACACCATGCCCGCCGGAATCTTTTGGAAGAGCAGCCGCCCTGCAAAACCAAACCCTAACCAACTTAAATGCAATTTACACACCCAAACATCCGCAACACAAGCATTTTGGATCAAACCCATCTCCAAATTTCCATCTGATATTCAAAATAATGCATGAAACTGGAACATTGATGACTAGAAAAGAATAACATACAGGGTATTGGCATGTTGGATATCAGCTTCAAGGGCTTTGAGGGATTCTTTGTATAAAGATTTATTGGAGTGCTTTTGCCACATTTCTTATGACCCTTTTGGAATTTGGTTCTGCTATAAAAAAAAAGGCGAAAAAGGAAAAATACAGGAAAGAGTGATTGGCTTTTGGATTTGTTTGGCTGAAGGAATTATGGTAATAGAAATAGAAGATGAAGGAGAGCTAGTTTGCTTAGTGTCGAAACCTTTCATAGTTGAAGAAAAAAGAAAGGGATACCTTCTCTTCTTAGGGAATTTCTTTAACTTGCCTTCATTACTTCTCTCTCCTTCTGCGCTGATTTCATCTTCCCTATGTTTTGACAATTACCAATTCTAACAAACTATTTTTTCTTCTTTAATATTACTTTTACACCATATTTATGTTTCAATCAACTTATCCTTTTAAAAGGGTAAAACTATTTAATCCACCAATCCATGCTAAGCAATTAATACTTTTAAGGATAATAAATTTTATTATATATTTTTTTAAAAATTCACCCAGTTATAAGACATTAGAAATGGGAACGTAGCCTAGTAAACTTAATTTGCACCTTTTATTTTGAATCTTTCTACTGTCATTATTTTATGATGATTAATTTTCTGTTGGGTAGTTTATTACATCTTAAAGGGCAAACTGAGTTTATAAATTTTCATACAAAATAAGGATTATACTAGATAACTTTATATTTGGATTACTTAGCCTTACATGTAGATTTATTTTCTTAATAATAATGGAGCCTTTAAAGAAAGAAAACTGTTGCAAAGGATTCTATCATTCCTTGCTTTATCATTGTGATGATCAATACATGAGAACAAATTTATGATGATGGATGCCCAAAAAAAAAAGGAGATAATGAATAGGCAAAAATAAATAGCACAGCCAAAGCAAAATTGACCATACATGCTTGGTTACAGCTTAATAGAAGGACTGGGAGGGGTAACTACCTAGTGGGCTTCTGTATAATCTTGACTGGTCTTTTCACAGTCATGGATGGATATGGGCATGGATACAAGTGAAACCGCTAATTTATGTCATCTTATTTTAAACAAAATAAGTAAATATTTATAATTAATTAAAATAAAAAAAAAATTAATAAATTTGAAATGAGTGTAGAGAAGATTTAGATTAAATGATAGAGTAAAATATTGTCTATCTAGTTTCGAGCATATAATACATATGAGTTTATGTTTTTCTTAAGTTCACGTGTACTTATTCTCACTCACTGGTATTATCACTTACTCTGTAAAATTATTATCATTACTACCATTGTTATTACCATCATCTTATTCCACTATTATTGTTGTTATTTTTGTTTCTATCGTTACCACTATTATTATTATAATTGTCGTCGTTGTTACACCACATGAGTATCAGTTATTACATGAGTTAAGAAATAAGTATATAATATTTGTGTTATAAAACTCATTTTATTATTCGATCATTTTAGAACATATGATATATTAAGAATATTATCCACGTTAATTACCATGCTCAGGTATCAAACGTAATCCAAAACACATTTCTTTTATACACATATTGCAAAAAAAAAAAAAAGGTATCTAATAAGCCATTCCGGCAATTGTTTAACTTGTTTTGTTACAAAAACTAGAGTATAAGGTAGTATTTGGTGTGATAAGAACAACAGAGTCTGAAATATAATGTTACTTTTATGTTAATTAACAAAAATAAATTAAACTAAACAATATAAAATGTGTTATAAAATGAAATAAATTTTGTTCCTACAAGCTTATACACTTAATTACATTTACAAATCTCTTAATTGTTCTGATTTTTATTTTCTTGCCATATTGACTTGCAAAATGGGAGATGACGGAGTCTAAACTTATTTACCCATTGACAAAGTTCCAAGTAAGCTCAACATTGATGTTGTAAGAGCTACTATTTATGCTCTTTATTCTAGCTTTTGTGTTTCTCTTTCATCCTATAAAAGAAAAGATATATAAATTCAATGTGAATAGCTTTTGTTAAAAGAGTTATCTATAAGTCTCCAAAATGGTGATTCTTTTATTAAATGGGTGGTATAGAAATGAGAGGCAATAGCAATTTATCCTTAGTATTCATATATACTGCTTTCCATATGTACCACCGATACATTTTTGCTCACTACACTTTAACTACAATTTGACATAAGGAGAGACCAACTAATGTTGTTTTTTCTTTAGTAAGAAGGAAATCCTTGGGTTGAGTTTTTAAGGTTCCATTTGGTTTATTAATTTTTTTCTACTTTATATTTATAACGTATTAGTTTCAAGAACATATGAATTAGTTAATAATGAATATAATGATAGTGAAGATTATCACAATATCAAAAAAATTTAGATTATGTTTGGTGTATAAAATCATTTCTTTATTTTATTTTCTAAATATATATTTTATTGATAAAACCATATAAATTAAGAATAATAATAAAAATAATAATTATAAAAATAACAATAAAATGAAAATTATTTTGTTTGTATTATGATTATTCTATAAAAATTCAACTGTTATATATTTTCATGCATAAAGACATATGAAATTAAAAAACAAAAATTAAGTGTATAATTTCACAATACAAGTTTCATTCTTGTGAATGTACTCTTCAAGACGGGACTACGGGGTATTTAATCTTATTCGCTCTCCTAACTTTCGTTTCTCTCAATATCAGTGTCGGCCCAACAAAGTGCTTTCGTCGTTGATGTTTTTTTTAATCTCTATGCATTTCACTGCTCCACCGAAAATTTTATATGCCCTTACTGTATTCTAGTTTGGTAGTTTCCACCACTTATCTATCGTTGAACCCTGTGATTTTATAACAGACTTAAAAAATCACCTATAAATATTTTACGTCCAATAATTCCGAATAACGCTTGCATCCTCTGTATTATGGCAGTTATTGGTATAGAGTTAGCCGATGCTTATTCTCCAAATATCGTCATTGTTTCTTCTCCGAAAAGAGAAGTTCACGACCCATGGGCCTTCTACCTTGATGCAGCATTGCTCCATCAAGCTTTCGTCTATTGTAGAAAATTTTCCAATGCTGCATTTCGTAGGAGTCTGAGTCGTATCTTAGTCTCAGTGTGGTTGATCATTCTCTCAGACCAGTTATTGATCATCGCCTTGGTAACTTATTGTCTCACCAACTAGTTAATCAGTCGCAAGCCTCTTTTCAAACAAATTTCTCCTTTTGCTCCTCAGTCTATCGGATATTAGCAGTCGTTTCCAATTGTTATTTTCTTCCCAATGACAAGTTCTTATGTGTTACTCACTCATCCATCACTAGAAACACTACTTGTCCGACTTGCATGTGTTACGCATGCCGTTAGCATTCATCTTGAGTTAGTATCGAACTCGTCATGAGATTTATAGTTATATTACTTATAATTTCTTTACTCTATAGACAGAATTGTTTCGAAATTGTCTTTCATTTCAATAGCATAATTTGTGTCAGTGTACTTCATATTCTTCTAAAGTTCACTATCAGAAATATAATCATCCCTACCTCTTTAAAATATTATTTAATATTTTTTAGAGAATTATTTATATTGTGTCTCATTATTTCATAAAAAAAAATAATTCTTACCTATTTTAACAATTAAATGCATAAATAAATACTTTTAAATTATAAAATAAAAATAAAAAATATTTTTATGAATCAAATAAAATTATTTAATTTTTTTTTTAAAACAACGCATAAAATAAAAGATTCGATGTAGTGAAGTAAGAGCTGTCATTTGGCTAAGCCGAGAAAAACAAACAATTATAAGTTACAAAATCTATAAAAAGTTACTAGTCCCTTTATGCAAGATTTCTTTTTTTTTTTATAAAAGAAAAAATTCAAAGAAATAAAAAGAGAATTCTTAAATGCATATGCTTTTCTTTTGAGAAGTAGATACCACACGGACTATGAAAGAGATTTTATTATTATTATTATTATTAAATATTAATTATTTAAATAATAAGAACCAAAAGAGGCTCACTAGATTTGCTGTCTATTAATTATTTATAATTTAATTATAAAATAATAAATTCTCAGAAAATTCAAAAGTTTGTTGAGCTTCTCCGACACACTCCTTCAAAAGCAAAAGCAAAAGCAACGGAAAGCTGAACCTGAAGAATTTCGTTCTCATTTTTCTTTTCTCGTTCTCTCACTTTCCGGACAAAAAAGACAAGATTCCCAAAATTACGAAAAAGAAAAAGATAGAGCCGCGAATCATCATCTTCGACCAGAAAGTGAAAGGTAAGTAGAAGGAAAGATTTTTAATCATCATTCAAACCTACGTTTTTTTTTTTTTAATTATTATTTCTCGTAAACTTGAAATAAACTCAACAAGGGGATTCCTTACCTTCGTGCTGCTCTTGGATGGGTTCATTTTCAAATCTCCTGCTTGATTTGATCATCTTTGTATCCTGTGTATCATCTCAAGTAACAGGTATGTATGTATATGATGTTATTGTCCAATCTGTAGATAGAGCTAAATTACCAATGACAATATATATAATTGGGGTGCAGAATTTGTGAGCTTAGACTGCGGAGGTTCATTTAGCTACACAGACAGAGCAACTGGACTTCCATGGATTTCCGACGAGGAAATCATGAGTTATGGAAAATCAGTTCAAGTGCAAAATCCAAATGGGAATTCCATGCAGTATCGCAGGCGCAGAGATTTTCCAATAGACAGCAATAAGTACTGCTACAAACTTAGCACCCGAGAGAGACGGCGATATCTTGTGCGGGCGACCTTTCAGTATGGTAGCGCCCTACAAAGTGAAGACACCTACCCTAACTTCCAGCTTTACTTGGATGCAACAAAATGGGCAACTGTTACGGTTTTAGAAGCCTCAAGAGTTTATGTCAAGGAAATGATCGTCAGGGCACCCTCTGATTCTGTTGATGTGTGCTTATGTTGTGCAACCACTGGCTCTCCATTTATATCCACTCTAGAGCTGCGCCCCTTAAATCTTTCAATGTATGCAACTGATTTCGAGGACAGTTTCTTCTTGAAGGTTGCAGCAAGGGTCAACTTCGGGGCTCCAACTATTGATGTTATAAGGTGATTAAGTTGCTGTTTGTTCATGATTTTGATATTTGATCTTGAGCATATCCATTAGCGATATTTGTAATATTTTCAGGTACCCAGATGATCCGTATGATAGGATTTGGGATTCAGATCTTGACAGAAGGCAAAATTATCTGGTGGATATGGCTCCTGGCACAGTAAGAATTAGAACATCAAAGGAGATGAACACACAAACAAGAGAATACCCACCGGTTAAAGTGATGCAGACAGCAGTTGTGGGGACAAAAGGGAGAGTTACCTACCGGATGGACCTTGAAGATTTCCCTGCGACTGCTCGGGCTTACGCGTATTTTGCTGAGATTGAAGAGTTGGCAGACAACGAGAGCCGGAAGTTCAGACTGGAGGAACCCTATATACCTGACTACAGCAATGCAGTGGTGAATATTGTCGAGAATGCCAATGGCAGCTATACCCTGTATGAACCCAGCTACATGAATGTCACTCTGCCCTTTGTTCTCTCTTTCTCTTTTGTTAAGACCCCAGATTCTACTCGAGGACCTCTTGTAAATGCCATTGAGATTAGCAAATACCTACAAATTGCTCCGACAACTGAGACTCGAGATGGTAATTATGTGCTCTTGCCCTTCTGTAAGATGGTCTTGGAATTCTTTGATCGTATTCATTTACTGTTCTGTTCTCGTATTTGTAGTTGCTCTTCTTAATGCCTTTCGCTCCATGGCTGGTGCGAGTGATTGGGCAAATGAAGGGGGAGATCCTTGTGTCCCAACTCCCTGGGAATGGGTGACTTGCAGCTTAACCACGCCGCCAAGAGTGACAAAAATGTAAGTTCTCCATTTATTTGTTTTTTGATAAAACATTTTATATACGCCCATGCACATAAGAAACAAAAGTAATGATTTAGGTGATTTTTTTATTAATGTGGTTGTAGAAGGTTTATATATTATTAATTCCAGATGACAGAAGTGGTTAACAGTGTGCTATCAGGGAAGGATTTGAGAGGCGAAATACCATCCCAGCTGAACAAGATGGAGGGATTGAAAGAGCTGTAAGTGATGCTGTTATATTGTGTGCAGCAAACAGTAAATGGTCTAATTAGAGTGTTATAACATTTGTTGGTTTGCTATTTAGATGGCTAGATGGAAACTCCCTCACAGGCCCACTTCCTGACATGACTAACCTCATCAATTTGAAAATTGTGTAAGTTTTGCTTTATATTCTGCCATTTAGAAATCATGTAAGTTAAGTTTCATAATTCTTTTGCATTCAGGCATCTTGAGAACAACAGACTTAATGGTTCATTACCATCATACTTGGGTACTTTGCCTATGTTGCGAGAACTGTATGTAACAACCTCAACCTCTACATTTTTGTTAATCAGATTTACCTAAATTCAAGTATTGAAACTTGTGTATATGTGGCAGGTACATACAGAACAACTCTTTTACAGGGAAAATACCTACCCAACTTTTGTCAGGGAAACTGATCTTCCAGTAAGTATTCAATGTATTTGCCATGGGCCTTTGGCCCCTCTATGGATTCTCAAACCCTCTTGTGATCAGTTTATGAAGCAACTGGTAGGGTAAATTTAATAAAATATTGTGTTAAAGATGAAGGAAAATTTTTTATCTCTTTTTGGTGTCGCAGTTATGAAAGTAATCCAGGACTGAATAGAGGGACAGGGCAAAAATTGCGGATTAAGCTGATAGTTGGACTTTCTGTTGGGGTAATTGCACTTGTATTATTTGTGGTACTGGCAGTTTTGCTGTTCCTACGGAATCTCCATCAGACAAGTGCCGGCAAAGGTGTATATATGTTTGTTTGTTTTAATATTGTAAGTTCCAGCTCTTTGGAATAACAGGCCTCTAATGTTTCTATTGTGTCTTCCAGACCTACTTTTGCGAGCCTCAGCTACCTATTCACCTCCAAGGGCTGGCCATTTATTGAATGAAGGTGTAGCTTACTGTATTTCCCTCCCTGATATTGAGCAAGCCACTCATCATTTTTCTAACAAAATTGGAAAGGGAAGCTTTGGCTCTGTCTACTATGGCAAGATGAGAGATGGAAAAGAGGTTGCAGTCAAGTTAATGGCTGACTCATCTACCCATTTGACCAAACAGTTTATTACTGAGGTATATTCGACTTAGCTCTTTGACACCAAGAAGATTCCTTTGTTTATAGATTAATATCCTAGGCTAATTTCTCAGTGATCAAATAACATTTTGGCTCGAATTACCAACTTATAAGAACTTAAAGCCAGTGAATGATTAAAGATAAAAGATTGTGCAGGTTGCGTTATTGTCAAGAATTCATCATAGACATTTGGTTCCTTTGATTGGATACTGTGAAGAAGAAAATCAACGGATTCTGGTTTATGAGTATATGCACAAGGGAACACTGAGGGATCACTTACACGGTATCATTTCACACCATGAGTTCTCAATCTATTTAGCCTTCCCCTCTATTCCTCATGGGTGCTATAGATGCCTTCATCCAACACTTTCAAATTTTAGATTATAATATCATTCCTAAATATCCAAAATTATTAAAAATTTGTAACCTATTAATGTATCCTAGTCATTCACTCTTTAGAGATATGGTGACTCGGAAGCATGTTAGATTTCTCTCCCTCTCCTGTTAAAAAAGGAAAAAATGCATTGAACAATTTACTGCCAGGTTCAATGACTCAGAGGCGATTGGACTGGTTAGCTCGTCTACAAGTTGCAGAAGATGCTGCAAAAGGTTTCTGAATTTGGTTATAGATTTTTATTTCATATACATATATATATATACATGTAATATGATATAAACACAATTTAGATGTTTACAGGTCTTGAGTACCTGCATTCTGGGTGCAATCCTAGTATAATTCACAGAGATGTTAAAACAAGCAATATTCTTCTTGACATCAACATGAGAGCAAAAGTTTCTGATTTTGGACTTTCAAGGCAAGCTGAAGATGACTTGACCCACATATCAAGTGTTGCGAGAGGAACTGTCGGATACCTGGATCCCGAGTAACTAATCTCTTATTTCTTACTATAATCAGTTTATCTTCTTTCACTTAATCTACATTCTCTCACAGGTACTATGCCACTCAACAGTTGACTGAAAAAAGTGATGTTTATAGTTTTGGCATTGTTCTGCTGGAACTAATATCTGGGAAAAAGCCTGTTTCAGTAGAAGATTTTGGAGATGAAATGAATATTGTTAATTGGGTATGTCCTCTGCATCTCTGACATAACTTTGGTGCCTTTTTTTGCTTTACTTTTTAATTAGTTCTTTTTTAAATCTATCATCACAATTTTTATTATCACTAATTTTTAACAGTATATTTTAAATTATTAATTTTGAATCCTTTAAATTTTTATTTAAAATCTCTCAATTATATATCTGTATGTCATTAGATAAAACATAACAATTTTTATTAAAATCACATATTATAACCACCACGTAGAATCAAATATCAGCAAGAATAGTTGGACTAAACACATGCTTGTTTGTGCTACTTTGGGCCTCTATCATAACCTCATAAATTTTTGAACTTAAATTCAAAAACTTCTATTTTTGTTGTTATTGATGAGTTACTTTACACATGATTTTGAAGTTAATCATAAAACTAATAGTGTGGGATAGAGATGTTTCAAGTGTTCTGAATCGGTTTATGGACTCACGTCAAACAATTCGTTGCGAGATAGTTGTGTGCATCTTGAGGTATCCCAAAGGAAGTAATTTTCAAGGACTTCAATCAAGCCAAATCAGTTTATAGATTCAACTCAAATAATTTATTAGGAGACAATTGTGTGCATCTTGAGGTATCTGAAAGGTATTCAATAAAAATAATTTTAAGGAGCATGTGTAAGAGTGTTCAAGGTAAATCCTTTTGAAGTGGTCAAATTAATGGGCATAGGTTATTCATGAAGTCCTAGATAGTATAAAACTAAGATACAAACTAGATCAAAGATTATACTAAAGAACTAGCAACTCGGATAAAATTTGAGATCATTAGGATGACATAATAAAGATTTGTGCAAAAGATCTAGCTATCCCTCCCTTTATTGATCGATTAAATCTAGTTGAGAATTCAACGTAGTTACTATTTTGAGTGACTTTAAAGGAAAAATAGCAATACAAATTACATGATAGAATGTTTGACATACCACTAGACATAACTTATCCAACTACAAGAGGGGAGTAAACATGTGAGTTTAGAGTATATATGGACTATTAGCTTTCTTGGAATTCATTTAAAAATTACATTTAGTTTAATTACGAGAGGGTGAAAGCTCTTTTCAAAATGACTAAAATTAAAGTCCAAAAGAATTCTTAATGAATTGACATAACAAGTTCTAGTTCCATTAAATTCCAGGCAAGTCTTTATCTTTTGATAACGAATGTCTAGAGGCACCTAGTTGGAAATAAATGTGAAGTATTAAATAAAGTTTATAAAAAATCATTCATTTATTTCAAATGTGATTTTAGTGTTTATAGTAACTTAATTTTACATTAAAAAAATATGTAATTATTGTGCTTTATACAAGTTCGCAAGTTAATCACTATCTATACTTGAGCTTTGATCTAGTGAAAATGAGTAGCGTAGGCCAAAAAATTTATTAGGTTAGTAATGTTTAGCTCCGATGTTTAAAATGGTACCAAAGCAATGCAAATAATTTTATATTGGTACAATTTTGGACTTTATAATCAGTTTCATTGTGATTTACAATTGTAACATGCTCTATATGAATATAAAGATTTGTTTATGAATATAAAGACTTGCGTGACAAATATTTTGATAACCATTTTCTGTATTGAAAAATATGTGATTATTAAAAAATATTTTGATAATCATTTCTATGTATTATAATTCATATTAGGCACTACTAATAATTTTGTTTTGAGCTCTTGAGAGTTAGTTGCTTAGATCCAAAAATTTATTATGCTACTTGATATACTACTTGACCCAAAGGTATTACATTATATCAAGATATAAAGAAATATTGAAATCGAAATTCTTAATTTCAATGATTGATCATGTAGTAAGTTTTTGTTTTGCAGGCAAGAAGCTTGACTAGTAAAGGGGATGTCGGAAGCATCATAGACCCATGTATTGCTGGAAATGTGAAAATAGAGTCAATATGGAGGGTTATGGAGGTGGCTATTCAGTGTGTTGAAATGCATGGGCATTCTAGGCCTAGAATGCAAGAAATAATAGTGGCCATACAAGATGCTATCAAAATTGAAAAAGGAAGTGATCAATTACTCAACAATAAAGCTATTTCTTCTTCTTCAGCAGGTAGTTCAAAGGCACAATTTTCTCGAAGAACTCTTTTAACAAGTTTTCTTGAAATTGAAAGTCCGGATATATCAAATGGTAGCTTACTCCCTTCTGCAAGATAGTTTTATAACACAGTTTACTTCAATTTTATGTTTGTATTTACGTCTCACACTTTTTTTATACTAGTTCGATTTAGTAATATTGTATATTTATGATTGCATTTTTCTTTTATTTTTTTATCATATTTCTTATTTTCATCTTTGTAACAACAAAATTTTTATCATTTATGTAATATAAAATCTTAATAGGTCATATTTGAAAATTATATGTTACTTAATATTGAGTATTATCTCTTTAAAGATATAATTGTATCTCATTCTTTAAAAATTATTTATTGAGAAAGATATTAGAAAGTTTATCCTATATTCTTCTTACAAATATATGTAAAATATAAGTGTGCATCCTTTAATTGTGAAATGATTGGAAGAACACTTAAAATATGAATCTAAATACCTTGATAAACCAGTACTATGTAAGAACTTGGTGAATATAGTAGAAATACTCAAGTTGTTGGCTTGAGGAGAGAACTTAGGTATACATTAGGTGGCCGAATATCTATAAATGAGTTTTGTTTTCTCTATTTATGTTTCATACTTACTTGCATGTATTACTATTTGGTTATATCTATGAAACTTGAGATTTACTTCACATACTTCATGTAATTAACACTTTGAAGTATATGGAGCAGTTGAATTTTGATATTAAGTTGAAAATTTATAAAATAAGGAGAAATCGAATTCACCCCCCACTTAACTTAACGTTACTATTTAGGAAAATAATTGACAATGTAAAATAATATTAGTTTTTTTATTAATATGACTACCTTTTGTGTCATGTTAATAGCTTATAATATGAAAACATTACATGCAGCTTTTGTTGATTGTATAATGTCTCAGGTTCAAGAGGTCTTGATCAAATTACTCTCAAGCTCAAACCACTAACTATCAAATTCTTAAAAAGTTTAAGTTCAGTTATTAGTGATGTATGAGCTAGTCTTTATATGAAGTTTAATAATGATATATTTTTATTGATAGTACGTATTTTGATATCATTTGTAATTCTCATGTTTAAAAACTATTAATTCTAGACTCAAACTATTAATTTGCAAAAGTTTAACTTATTAATAATTTGTTATTTGAACTCCTATATAAAATTTAATAATAATATGTATTTCTGATATAAAATTCTGATATCACAAATTATCTTTGCATCCAATTAATTTTAACTTCACTTATTAATGTATGTTATTGCATTTCAAATTACTATGAGAAGAAAACACTAAAGCAACGTTATTAGTTTACAAACTTTATTTATTTTGAAGTCCATAACGTACATTAGAGGTATATTTTGATCAATTTAAATCCGTATCTATGTTTTCTTTCACTCCGTAACTAGTTTAAATTTTTTTCATCTCAAATTATCGTCTCAATTTAGTTCTATATTGTTCTCTTACCATTGGTCAAATGTTTATTTTATTTTCTTAATCACTAACCTCGTAATCCATTTATTTTTCTTGGAGCTATTTTCCTTTTTTTCAAATGTAATAGAATGAAGGAGTAATGTAAAGGTCTGAAACTTAAAAAGAAATAAAGTTATGAATTAAATGCGGAAGCGAAACAATAGAGTTTATGGTTGACATTCTTTACACAATAATTTAAAATACCCAATAGGGATACATAAATGATCTTTCTAAAAGAACCAACAAAATTAAGGAAATAAATAAAAGACAATATGTTGAGTATTATAGAACGACCTTCACTAGCTTTTGAAGGGAGTTCGGGTGGTGAACTATTCACAACCCTCTTGTTGATCGGGATCTAGGTCTTGATCCTCTTGATATGAAATAGTTAATAAAAATGTAAGTTACACTATCCCAACAAAAATATTACACTACTTACCGATACAGAAACTGAATGTTGGTAAAAATCATAAAAACAACCAATATAACTCTTGATTTAAGTAAATTCATTTATCATAAAGAAAACTATTTATTGCATATATTTACCGTTGCGAGATTTTCAAAATCGACTTATGGAGACAATAACTCAAATAACATTTCAATCTCATATTCAAGTGAGCAAAAACAATTCTTTTTATTTGTCTACTAATATCTCTGGGGGCCCATAGGGATGTTCCACTACGCATGAACTAATATTCAACATTGTCAACTAACTAGTCGTTCCCATACCCCGTCCGATATGAGCACCAAAAATATCATCCATTAATATCTCGTCCGATATGAGGGTAAAACGGACCGTTCTCATACACCGTCCAGTATGAGTACCAAAAATACTAATTCTCGATACCCCGTCTGATATGAGGCAACGTTCACGGTAGAGTTTCCTATGTACCTGGTCCGTCCATCATCTCTCAGGATATCCAGTAAGTCTATCATTCATTAATTCACATGACCAATCAATTTTACGTTTGCATATTAATTACCAATTTCATAAATCAATCGTAAATCACGCAAGATAAGTAATATATATATCATGAAGCACAATTGAATCAATTAATAATTTCAGTATATCATCATATATTTAAATATGTAAATTCAATAATCAGTTAAACAGGACAAGAAATAAATAACTAACTAGTTTCTGACTCCATTAGTAACCTGTAATTATTCTCAAAAAATTTTAAATTATACAAAATACCATATTATTGATTATTAAGCTTCAATTCCATAGCAGAGAATAAAGTAAGGCATTCTTACCCGAATCGCTAATCGAAACATCGAACTTTCTATTGCACCAACTAGTGGTCTCTGAGTTCCTGAATTTTTATGCCGAAATTATCACGTACCTAAAAATACTCAAAAAAAAATCCAAAATCAATGTTAAAATCCTTTTCTGGCCAATTTCAGAATTTCGGTACAGTGGCACCGCCGCCCGCAATAATGGTTTGCTTTGACCTAGTTATTTTTGTTCAGTTTTGGCCAGTTTCGACCGATTTTATACCCATCCTTACGAGAAAACACGTTAGGGGATCTCGGTTAACTAAAAAAAGTCAAAAAATAAAAACCTACCAGCGACGGAATTTTCCAGTGCGACGGCTCTGCCGGCTCACTTTCACGGCTGGGTATTTTTCTTCGGTCAACTTATAGAAACATAAAGGTGAACACAATAGTAGAAAAATTACACGAAACGGGAAACGGGAATGGGCTCATCGGAGACTGTTTCAAGTTTTGCTTGCGGCGGCGCCACCGGGCTTTACCCATAATTTTCTCTTCATCTGCCGTTTTTTTACTCCGATTTGGCCATGGAAGTATTCGGAATCAAATTTCGAGCGGATAGGAGAATTTTTACTTTTTTTGCGATCAAATGAGGCTCCGGCGCGGCGGCGGGCGGTGGTCGGTTCCCTTCTTCGGCACTGGTTTTCTTCTCCGACGGGAGGCTGGTGGTTAGGGTTTGGGTTCGGTATTATACAAGATATTTATACTCATCTCACTAAAATTTGGGCCGTTCATTGCGTTTGATCTCGACCGTCTGATCGCATTTAAAGAGAAAATAAATCTAGATCGTTCATCGTGATTTGATCTCGACCGTGCGATCGCATTTAAAGAGAGAATGAATCTGTACCGTTCATCGCGTTTAATCGCGACCGTCCAATCAAGCCTGAGGAGGGAATTGATCCGGACTGTCCACGCACGCAGGAACACTTCCATCCTGTCTGATCGCGAGCACACAGATTGCTAGTGTGGCCTCCCGTGTAGCACCGAGTTATCGTGCCTTACCACACGGCGCGCTCTGGTTCGTCGAGACTGCTGACTGGGCAGTCCTATATTACGCAATTTTTTTTAATTGCATTTGAATCTTCAGTTTCTGATTTTTCTTTTAAAAACATCATCCGAACTCAAATTTTCACTTTTTTTTTTCTAAAATTGTTTTCAATTTCATTCTTTATTTATTTTTTTCTTAATTTCACATTAAATAAAAATTTATTAATTTTAAAATTATATTTTTATACATTTTTTAAAAATTTTACAATTAATCTCGGATCAAATTTCGAATTCGAGTATTACAGGTAAAATGACATGTGAGATAACCACATGTTATGAGATATCTACCTCATATTTTGAGGTTAATAATATATAACTTAGAAAAATTAAGAGTAAAACATGTTTAAGACATGAGGAGTAACATAAAATATCACAAAAATCATATGCATATACTAGAAGTAACAAAACAATTTTTTTTAATAATATATATGGTCTATTTTGGAAGAAAATTCAACATCTAAATAAAATATATTAAGTATTAATAATATATATTATGTGTGATAAGAAATTTAATAGTTTTTTAATAAAAGAGAGAAAAAATAAGCAAACAATATAACAATAGTTTTTAAAATATAATATCTCTATTTAATTTGAAAAAGCAAAGAGAATAAATTATGGTTTATCCAATTAAAAAAATGTGACCTACCAAAAAACATTATTAAATAAATGAAGGAAAAATAAATTTGAGAATCGCATGCCAACAAACTCATAATTGAAAATTACATTTGAATTTATTTATTTGTTAATAAAATAATCTCTCTGACCCCAAAAAAAAAAAAAAAAAAAAAAAAGGCAAACAAATTTTCCTCTTCCCAAACGAGCTGCCCCCATGGCCTGTAACTCGAATAAAGGATAAAGCAAATAGAAGAAAAGCTCGTCTTTATGGTGGATTAGGGTCCATCTCATCTCTGTTAGTTTATCTTCACTCCCAAGCTTATCTTCTTTTGCCTCCTTTTAATTCTATCTGCGATTTCATCGGCGAGTGTATATACACAGAAAATGTATTACCAGTTGGCTAACTCTTCTTACCAGGACTCTCTGAAAGTCTTGGAGGCCGATATACACCTTGCCAATTCACTGTCAGTTCTCTTCTTTTGCTCTTTACTGAATGAATTGTTCTTGCTTTTGTAAGACATTTATGTGTTTGGTGATTCTTAGTCATCGTCGTCGTGATCACCATCCAGTTGATAGTGGCTACTCTCAGAAATTTCTGCAGTTTTGGAGGGTTTTTTTCCCTATATTTTGTCGATTTTAAAATTTGAGGATCAAAGGCTAATTTACTAGAGCCGTTAATCCATGATATAAGTAGCTGAGTGGGTTGAGAGAATCTAAAGAGCATATTCTGTTCTGAATGCTCTTTCATATTGTTTCAGTGTTATTTTCTGCTAATTCTCCATGTCTAATATTGGGTTTCTTTTTTCATTTTAATTATTCAGATAAACGGTCATAATTTTGATTTTGGTTGTTGGGGTTTTCTAGGTCTGCGTCAATTCCAAGAGGGAAGGGTGGAAGCCATCTTCAAATGAAACTGGTTTACAATCACTTGGCTCCCCTCTATCTGATTTTGCTACAATGGGTTGATAGTTCCTGCTCGTGTCTACTCCCCAGATATTTAAACTTCTTTCACATACTTGTCTATAAGGTTGGTGTCCTTTTGCAGGCATTGATTCTCAGACAAGGGTTTATAAGTTTTGAACATATTCTTAGTTGTCGCTGGCTTTGTCTTGGCACAGGTATATACAGATGGGAGACCTCGGCTATCTAACTATGGAAGGAAGGCAACGATTAGGGAATTTTATGGTATATGTCATTTATTGTGTCCTTCAATCAATGGTTTGTGTATCGTTTTCTCATATTTATAGCAATTACAGGCATAATTTTACCGTCTCTTCAACGGCTCCATGGTGAGCTGGGGGATGTTGATGAAGGGAATCCTCTTGACAAGAAGAAAATGAAAGGACATAGTAGATTGAGCAATGTTGACTTGGAGAGAGAGGATGAATGTGGCATTTGCTTGGAGCCTTGCACCAAAATGGTGTTACCCAATTGCTGTCACTCAATGTGCATCAAATGCTATCGCAACTGGTAACCATCTTATGTTTCTACTTCTTTAACCACAACTACTAGTGTCAAAAATACTTTTGATTTCAAAATATTAGAGTTGTTTCCTAAATTGCCATATACATATCTTGCTGTTAGAATTGGACCATACACTAGTGATGAGTTTTGGGTGTATTTTGGGACTAGAGTTTAAGAAAGATCTCATTATCTTTTTTACAATGAATTCAAGATTCATATCTCGCTGGAGGGCCCAATTGGGTGAACCAAGTATGTCCTTGTGTTGCAGGAATACAAAATCAGAGTCATGTCCCTTTTGTCGTGGTAGCTTAAAGAGAGTAAAATCTGAAGACTTATGGGTGCTTACCTGCAACAATGACGTGGTTGATACTGAAACAGTTTCAGAAGAGGATTTGTTGCGCTTCTACCTCTATATTAACAGCCTTCCAAAGGATTACCCAGATGCACTTTTCTTAGTATACTACGAGTACCTAATCTGATCAGAAAAAATTTGAGAAATGGAGAATAATGTACAGATACAGAACAAGCCCCCCTTCAAATGTATATAGTCTGGTAAGGCTTCTTGTACATGTTCGGATAAAATTGCTCCTACTTCAATGAAAATGTAAAGATAACTTTTCTATTTATCAATGTCAACCACTCATTTTATGAGCTTTTAGTTTAGATTTCATCCCTGTGGTTCAATCAGTAACTACAAAGCGATCTAAATTCTTTGTTTATCTTGTGAAAGACTATAAAATATTTGAGTATCTGCTACTTTGGTTCTATCCTGACGTATGGAGAAAATTATGAGGGATTCCAGTTGTCTTAATGTGTTTGAAGGGGCATATGAAGGCTTTTTGCCTCAGCAAAAAATATAGGACTGCAGTCACAAATTCAACAATGTCATGTTATATGATCCCAAACTTTATTCCTATAATTCTATCATCCACTATACAAGAAAATCTCAAATCTTATTTGAAATTTATACAGATATTTTCAAAACATAATTTATTCAATGTGTGGATAAGTGTAATCTAAATCTTCATATGGATGTACTTGATGGACACAGATTATGTGATTTAAATCCTGTTAAGTTTCTTGTATCTCTCACATCATACACATTTAGTAAAGCCTCTAGAACTATGTTCCTTACCGTTTCTTCTTTTCATATAGAAAATAAAGGTATCAACTATGGTACCTCAAGACAATTTGGATGTGCATATAACTTCTAATCATTTCCATTTATATTTGAGTTTTAATAAGTAAGGTAAGTAGCATGAAAATTTATCAATTAAAGTATTCTCCCTTAAACGCAAGGCATTCACTTCCTTTTCCTTTGAAACACAAGAAAATTTTATGCTTTTCTTTTACGAAACATAATTTCAAGCAACATACATTCTTTTGTGCAGGAACAAATTCAGCACTCTGAGCTGTCTATATGAAATAGGATGTTCCACACTTATAGAACTAGTTTTCATTTTGTTTCCTTTTTTCACATTTTTATCTTATATTTTGAATCTCTTGAATGCTTATATTCATTCTTGATACTTATCTTTCGAGTTTATAATGATTATCCGACTACTTAGACTAGTGCAGCTTGTTTGCTGGTAATTAGGATCTGCCAAAAATGACTAGCAATTGGTTTGTGGTAGTCAGACACTTAGTGCAGCTTGTTTGCTGGTAATTAGGATCTGCCAAAAATGACCAGCAATTGGTTTGTGGTAGTCAGACTAGTGCAGCTTGTTTGCTGGTAATTAGGATCTGCCAAAAATGACCAGCAATTGGTTTGTGGTAGTCAGACTAGTGCAGCTTGTTTGCTGGTAATTAGGATCTGCCAAAAAATGGCTAGCAATTGGCTTGTGTTAACGAATGCATACGGAGAATAGGGAATAAGCAAATTTTATTCGATCTACAATTACTTAAAACATGTTTGATTATTCAAATTTTAACTTTTTATTTTAATCTCGTTACAAACAAAATATGCATAGATGAATATAGTCATGCAAATAAAAAACCAAAGCAATCATATAGGCTAAAAACCTCAACTGTTTGAAGTTCAAGTAGCATAATTTGTTATTACCCTTTAGAATTCTCAAGTTTCTATGCCAATTCGTAGGCTTCTAACTTTTTGGGATCATAAAGTTGGGACAATAAACCATACGTAAGCCGTAATCATATAGATAAAAACTCAGAAGAAAAATGTATATATATATTTTCTCTTTCCTAGTCATAGGGTGTATCCGGCCACAAGAAGAAAAGTCTTAGAAAAACACTTCTTTTTGTTTTTCTTTTCCACGGTCAAACTCTATCATGTATATACACTTGGAGTTTGTTTCTTTTTTTTTTCTTTTAAGAAAAATTATGTAAACCAAGAATTCTCTATATGAGACAACACACTATCTTCTCTAATCTCAAGAACTATTCCCGATCAAGATCAATTCTTGAGCTTTAGTGAGTGAACCCTATTATTGTAGTATTGTGTTATTCTCATCTAATTTCAGTCATATTCTATTCTCGTTTGATTTTTAAATTACACGTAAATATTAATTAAATTAACTTTTCTATAAAGATAAATTAATTTGAAATTAAAGTATAATTTTATTTCATATTTCAATTTTATTTGAATTGTTCTTATTTATATTTTATATAATTAGAATCTGAATCAAAATTCTATATAATTAGAGTTTGTTAGGCTAACAAACTTACTTCCTACGAGGCCTCAACTTATTGACACCGCTTGTACAAGTTGCACATGGTCGTGGTAAATGTATTAGTCCATAATTAATGTGCATTCTACTTGACTTTCTTTGTTTTGTTTTAACTTTTCTTCCTTTGGGGTTGAGTGTAGGAGTGCTTGTATTATAGCCTTCAATCCATAAATAAGAAGAACCGTAAGATCTATTCCATTTTGTTCTAGTTTTTAATTAAAAAAATACTAGATTATAAAAGAAATCAATTTTTTTAAAAAAAAAATCTAAAAATTTTAATAAACTTAAATTTTTAAAAAAGAAATATAATTCTTTTTCAGTCTAGATTAGATCAGAGAAGTATTTTTCACTTTAATCTAGACCAAAATTAATGTGATTCAGTTTTTAGTTTGGATTCCTTGCTTAATTTGATATTTGATTTAATCCAATTTAGTTCTAAACGATGGATACCTATAATCATAAAAAATCATTAAGAATTCAGTCTTCTTAGCCAAAGTTTATGAGTCTTTATATCTCTCTTGTAGAACGTAGGTTATCTTGGAATGCCCTAATGCTCTTGTGTGGTACTTTAATGAGAAAGTCTTATAGTGATAGCACAAATCTTAATAAAGAGTCCCTCATAATTTGTAATTTTATATCATGTAGTTATCTCTTAAAGGATAAGACATTTATCATGGCTACAATTAGGGTGCTTGTAGAGGACTTGGTTCCTCCTAGTTATGCAAGCTATCTAGTATTATATCATTGATTTTTACAGCATCTCCATTGTTATCATAACTCCTCCTCATCCTCTTTTAGGATTCATCCATCTTCTTCTAAAATCGACTTTCTATTTTTTTCTTTTTTGAATACTTATATTCACAGTTGGTTAACTTTTTTTAGATGAAAGCTTAGCTATAAGTGAGGGCAAAATAATAGCGCTCCAATGCCCAAGTTCATCTATAGAGACCTGGTGCTTACACTTTTTTCGTTGTGAGTTCTTGCAAACCTTCGAAAAGATTTTTTATTATGGTTTAACCTCATACTTTATTTCATAAATTTTTTTATTTTTTTTCTCTTTAAAATTTCTTTGAATTCTTCTCTTACTCATTTATTATATGACTATATTCTCATTTTTTCGTTACTCGTAGATTCTGTGTCATAAATGAATTGATAGAGTTATATATTAAAATTTACTTATTGTTTATCTCTATTTTATAATAATAAGTATATTATATTCATAGTTTTTATCTTTTGTGTAGATTTTGTTCTTGCATACGTAGAATTACTGAAGGTTATGTAACAAGTAATTAAATATCTCTAGCACAAAAAAGAATAAAACTTATATAAAAAGTTGCGTATTTCAAAAAGAATGCAAAGAAATGATATAATGATGATCGTGAGCATAATTTTGAGAATAGTAATTGTTATGTCTTATAGTTTAATTTAAAATAATTATTCAGTTTAATTTTATTATCATATATTTACAGCAATCAATAAAATATTTTCTTTTACATAATCAAATCCAAAATACACAAATCTTTTTTTTTTTTTTTTTTTTTTGTTTCTAAAAAAGGCCATTGACATAAACTTAAGAGAAAATAAAAAGTCATATGCAATTAAAAACAAATTATAAGTACAAAACCTAACACTACAAGATAAGGACATGTGAAACCAACAAAACTTAGTGAAGTTGTTAATTATTTCTCTCAATCACTTATAGATTAAGTGTGTGCCATTTTTACTCGTAGACTTTATTTTGCCTCTCTTGCTGCTCCTTCAATTTTTTAAAACTAAAGCATATGATGATCATGTCATCCAAAATGAAGGGATAGATACCAATGCTTAAAATACACACGGGAGTACCATATCCTACCCCTATTATTTAATTTTATTTTAATTAAAGCCCCAATTATTTAGTTACTTTACTTTCTATTTTTATTTTAAAAAGCAACTAAATTAAAATTTTTAAATTAAAAAAAAAAAAAAAAAAAAAAAAAAAAAAAAGCAAGTGCCACATTTAACACACACCACTCGCTTTAATAGCCGTGAAATTTTGTATTATCAGCGGAGAAAAATGGGTTTACGCCACGTGGCATATCAATTACTGAGTCAAAGAGCGCGTGTTTCTCAAGTCCTGTAGAAAGCAGTCTTAACCCGAGAAAAAGATATAATAATCAAGAATAGAACCAGACGGAAACCAAAATGAGTTTTCCCCAAGAAAATTATAACTAAAATCTGCTGATGCTGTTTGCTGCAAGATACACACCAATTCTAGGGTTTCTGAAATTTTCTACTCTTCCAATTTCACCAACCTTGCTGCTGAATTTTCCGGGACAAACTTGAAGCCAGTTGACTTTCTTACAAGATATTCGATACCGTTTGCTTTTGATTTTTCTTCCGTTAACAAGCCAGGGGTTGTATTCAGTTTGGTAGAAAGATGTCTTCGTCGACATCATCAGCTACAGTTGCAGTGGAGAAGGCAACCAGCGACCTTCTAATAGCTCCCGATTGGACTATGAACATCGATATTTGTGATTCCGTCAATTCTAACCATTGGTACTATTGTTACTGTCCTACAACAATATGTTTTTGCTTTTGTTGGCTATCAATATTCCTGCAACCTAAGGTTTCAGTTCAATTAATGATTCTAACTTGTTTTGTTACCCTAGCTTTTTCAGTTTCAGGCATAATTTTCTTACGTGATTTTGTTTTTATACATATGTCATATGTACCTGAATTCGTTTTTTTTTTTTTTTTGGAGATAATTTTTGTTCATTAGAATTTAAAGGAAGGAGATGATGTTTGATGTAAGGATAGTGTCATCCTATAATCTTCATCTTGTTGAAAATTTTATTGAAAGAAAATAAAAAAGGCTGTTCGAAAGTCGAGGACGCTTCCTGGACGCAGAGAAGCGGAGAAGGTTCTCTTTACATGAAAATTGATCAAAACAGAAACCTGATAATTTGTTGAATTAGATTTTGGATTTCTATCTTCTTCTCTCCATTCCTGTTATGTCTCTGCATGTTTTGGAATCGTTTTTGACTGGTAAAAATAGATTGAACATCTTTTCTTTTTCTTGACATACTGATGGGTACATGTTGAATTTTGCTCAGGCAGGCCAAAGATGTTGTAAAAGCTGTAAAAAGAAGGTTGCAGAATAAGAACGCCAGAGTGCAATTACTTGCTTTGACGGTATTTAATTATTTATGTCACCTTCATCTTCACTTTTATTGTTGATTCATCTGGTTTTGTTTATTGATCTCTGGGATGAAAGTGTGCTATCTCTTTGAATACTTGCACAACAAACTTGGTATTTATCCATATAAGTTTGTGACTTCATGGCGCCGAAATGCGCAAATTTTTTTGTGACTAGAACATTAACTATGTGTGCCACTGCTTATGTAGCTCTTGGAAACAATGGTGAAGAACTGCGGAGATTATGTCCATTTTCAAATTGTTGAGAAAAATATACTGGGAGAGATGGTTAAAATTGTGAGGAAGAAGGTAATCCACTAAAGCTTTAGTGTTTCTGTGCTACAGCTACCTTGCTAAACATGTAATTTTCATTATACTTTTCGGTACAGGTAATTCTCATTGTATTTAAAAAATTTGTATATATAAAATTTCCAGTACTAGTTGTATGAAAACTCTAATTTATGTTTTTGAAGCTTTTACTTCATTTTCTACTGCTGTCTTATTATTCATTATTGTTTTGTTCACTTATAAATCATCATAGATAATGGATATTAACTAGATTGCTTTTACAGTGCGTAGAACATGTTCAGCAGACACTACTGGATACTGATGTGTGGTTTGCACAAGATTGAGTGTATTTTGAACAATGGCATGGGAATGCTCGCTAAGAAAATTTGTTTTTCACCAATTTCCTATTTAAAACATGTCAAGTGACTTAGATATTGCCTTTACCTCTGTTTACTAGATGAATGGCCTCTGAAGCAATCTATTTTTTTTTTTTGTCTTGTCTTTTCCAGCCCTCTGTGGTGTAAAGAGTTTATTTCCTTTTCTTCTAGAGCCTGCATGCACTTTTTGTATTTAACTAGGGGTAACAATTTTTAAGCTTGGCTCAGCTTAACTTGGAGAATTGGATGATTAAAATACCAGTCCTTTTATGATAAGAGGAATTCTCAGTATATATTGTCATTGTTTCTTACTGTGATATATTCTGTTTATGACAGACTTTTTTTTTTTTCTTTCCATATCAACAGTTTCCTTGAAAAGCAGACTAAGTTTCCTTGCCAAAATATTCTCTCTTTACTCTTTTCTTTTGTTGGGCCATTCTCCCCCTTCCCCCTGCAAGACCACTACTTACACCAGCGATAAATCTGTTGACTTTGATCTGAGTCAGATGCTCCCAGCTCTTTCTGTTCGAGGCTTTTGCCTGATCTCTGAAACTTCCATTTGGCTGGGTTTGCAGGCAGACATGCAAGTGAGGGATAAGGTCTTGATGATGTTAGACTCTTGGCAAGAGGCGTTTGGTGGGCCTAGAGGAAAATACCCTCAATACTACTCAGCATATGATGAGTTAAGGGTAAGCATACTTCATATTAGTTGCAATTGTCTCATCTTGCACTAAATTCAGTTTTTTTTAAAAAAAAAAAATTAGTTTAGCTCATTCTGGGGCCATGCTTCTGCTATTGGTGAGCAGATGTCACATGAGATATTAACTTGTCCTAGAATTTGAACGTAAGAATTTGGTAATTTGCCCACTGTTTAGGCTTACAATGGCCTTTAAAAAGCAGCTACTCATGGACCATAAAAGAGGAAAACAAGAATTCTATCAGCAGAACTGATATAATGGAATAATTCTATATCAGATAGATTTTATTCCCTGGGAAGGATAGTACTCATCTACTGCCCCATTTCTGGTCTCGTTCAATTGCCTCAGAGGATTGTGCATGCAATACACCAATGAAATGTGCAGCCTTAGTTTTGAATTTCATGTTTGGCAGAGATCTGGAGTAGAATTTCCACAACGTTTAGACGCATCTCCAATATTTACTCCACCTGCTACTCATCCAACATTGAGCATGCTCATGCTGGTTATGGAATGCCAAGTGGCTCATCTAGAAGCTTGATGAAACAATGCAACAGAAATGGAAAGTCTGAGTATGATCTCCTTAGTTTGGCAGTTGT